TTTGTTTAATCAGTGGCTCCATGATAGAGTTGTATCTTCTATATAGTCTCTGAAGTTAGAAACACACGGATATCTACTAAAATAACTTTTCATACTTTTTTGCTCTAGATTTGCAGTGCCAAAATCATTATTCGTTTCTTTTCTGAAAGATTAAAAGAAGATAAAAACTTAAAATTTTATAGATTGTAAAAACGTTTTATAAAACCTACAAAACAGACGATTGGAAATTTATCGTAGGATATAAAAAGCAACATGCAACAAAACACGAAAAACAGAGAACTATGAAACAATATTTATAGAAGAAGCGATTAGGTTTTATTAGCCACAATAAATAAACCAAGAATAAAAAACACGAAAACACCATCGTAAACATTACAATCTTGAAGAACGATAAAAAAAAGAATTAAAGCATTACCTTCTTAACTGTAGTATAAATCCACGAAACCTGTAAAACATCAAAAAGTAAATCAGACCAATACTCAAGCAACGGATCACAATCAAACGATTGTTAAGAATACATTACACAACAAAACTTCATACGAAACTTCAAAATAAGAAGAAATACAAAAGAAAAGAAACATAGGATTAAAAAAAAAACAATATAAGAAAGGAATGATTTGTTTCACTGATTGGATTATATAAGAATAAGTGGGATCATATCATCACGTTAGGGTTTACCAATCATATATTCGATTGTTATATATCTAGAATAAAAAAATTCTAAAACAATTAATCGAATATATCCATTAGCTATATACGAATTGAAAACTACGTAAATAATCACTCTCATTGCGATACATAAGCATAGTGACTTCTCTTTTATAAGTATAGATTTTGAGTGATTTGTTTTCAAGTAATAAATCATATGTTATTGAAATAACTCTTAGATTTCCATCCTCATCAACACCTACTCCGTTCAACAACATCATGTGTCCTTGCTCTGAATCTTCCATTTTTCTATCCGACAAATTATAAATGTCCTATGAAAAAAATCAAATTTAGATTGAAATTTAAAACAAAAAACTAAAAATCAACATAAATTTTCCCTTACATTTGGAAAAATTGGGATATATGATATATGATGACCGAGCAGCAACAGTGCAAAGCTTAAGTAGTTTCTCTAGCTTCACCTCAAATACATCGAAACCAAAATGTACTCCATCGCGTGTCACGATGTCTTCGTGATTTATTCCGTCGTGTTTCCCAATGTTTTTCTTTATATGAAATTTTCATTTGATTTTAGAGATGAGAAAATGGATGTTTTGAGCTTCTCATTTTCTTCTTCTAATTAAACATTAAAATTTTAAAAATACGAATTTGATGAATACTTCCATCAACTTCGACTATATTAATGAATAAATCAAAACTTTTAACTACATTTTAATATTATTAAACGATTAAGTTTGTTTCGCTAGTAAAAAAGTTTTGCTACTAAGTTGGCCGATATATTCCAATCTTACATCTGTTAAATCTACTTTTTGGAGATAGATTAAAAATTTCTTCATCTCTTTACATCCAGTCAAGAGTCATCTCATTCCATCATCTAGGGGCAATGTTGTTTTGTCTCTCCTATATTTGGTTAATATCAACCGGAAGTCGCAAAGATTTTTCAATCTCTCCACGCCAAAGATACCAATTTCCGAATTTCTTCATCTTTAACGTATGGCAAGATCAATTCAATAACTAATCGCAGTATCCTCGCGACCGTGGATGTTGGATCTTCCATGGACACGATGAAGAACGGAAAATGAGAACAGTGAAGATCGACGGGACAAAAAAGTGAAAAAGCCGAATTGAAACGATTAAATGGAGCGTTTAGTGAATGTGAAACGGAGCGTTTGAGATGGAAAAGAAGAAACATTTTAATTGTTTGTAATTTTATTTAAAAAAATGTTAAGCCAAACCCAAACCGAAGTAAAGTTCGGGTTTATTTTGTTATCCATTTTTCTAAATCAGGATGCCCAAACCAATGTAGCGAGGTATGTTCGTAGTCAATTTTACCCAATTGAATCCCCGTTAACCGGCCCTATAAGATTTTAATCATGTCGGTTATACTGATACGGTTCGTTCTCCTAAACCGAGTCCAACTAAAAGAGAAAACCCAAACCAGTTTCAGTTCTTCATTAGATCAAATCAAATAAAAAGGTTGGGAGTTCTTCTTCTTTAGCCGTTTAACCATTCAAAAAAAAAAGAAAAGAATATTCAGATTACTTACTGGACTCTAAACACAACCCTACAACGACCGTTTAAGAAAGCCAATAGAGAAAAGATCACTAACTAAATCATCAACCAAAGTGGAAACTATCTCTCCTTCAATGTCAATGCCTTCCTCAAACATCTCTCTCTCATAGCCAATCCATTTCCCTTCGAAACAGCTCATGTCGTGATCCACAAGCTCGTCGATCATCATCTCTCTCATATTCTTCAAACCTTTTACTTCTCTGTTCAGTTCTTTAGCCAACAAATCTCTGTGTTCCAACAAAATCCCACCTGATATCATCATCATCCCTTTGCAGCTTCCAATCATCATCCTTTCGAATTTCACCGCTAAGCATTGATTCACACAGTGGAAAAGGGCCTTCCTTTCGATCTTCGTTGCTGTCGCAGCTCCTCGAGAGCGTTCCATTTCGTCAAAGAGGCTTGAGGGTAACAACAATTCCTCAGGGGTTGTCCCTAAAGCAAAGTCTTGAAACATGAGCTGGCCAGAGTTGAGGATCTCGGTTATGTACTCGAGCTCCCAATCGAATGTTGCTGCGGAATTTGTTTCATCTAAGGTTTGGTGGGACTCGTTTGATGAAAACCAAGTAAGTTCTTGATCTGATGAGCTCTGTTTCATGCCTAGAAAAACAACATTAAGCGTATTTAGCTGCAAATCAAACCATTTTCCTACTAAAGATACCAGATTTATGCAATCAACTTGGACAACTTGAGCCACAAAAAGAAAGGAGGAAAAGAAAGTCATAAATGGACAAAGGTATACCATAATCTCTGTCAGGTTTGGACTCTGAGAAACTCTTGGTGCAGGAGAGTGTGAAATCATCGGCTTCTGTAAGAGTGCTGATGCTGCTAACTTCATCTCCTTGTATCGTCTTTTTCTTCATTAAGGAAAAAGAAGAAGATATTTTCAAAGACTTGGTAAGCCAGAAAAGCTTTTGATATAAGAGAATGGTGAAGCTGCATTTTATGGAAACTAACCTGGAATTTTTGGTTGTTATAGAATGAAGTGCATTCAGAAACAGATTCACTCTCTGATAAGACTTTATCAAGACTGTTTTGAGTCCATTCGCCATGTTTTGATGGCGTCCCGTTCACTCCATCCTTTGAAATGGAACTCAAAGACTCGTCTTGGATCAATGCAGCGCTAGATGATGATTCAATCTTCGAGGTCAGTTCCCTGAGCTTTTGCTCCAAAAGCGCATTTAAAGAATCACCGCCTATCACATTGAACCTAACAGCAGAGTCTGCTTCTTGTTTGGTTCCTTGTGAGTGAGATGATAATCCTTTGATCGAAGACGAGAAAGTGAAAGAAATCACATCCATGTCCCTTTTCTGATCATCTTTACTTGTGCTTGAATCACCATCAATGCTAATATTACATTTTATCGACTTTTCACCCCTTTTGATCCGTTTATCTTCATAGATCCCCGTTTCTTGCACCCCATTCCGCGGCTTTTTGTTTCGAGGAAGACTCTTCTTGCGAGATAAAGGTAAAGAAGTGGGTTTTTCTACCGATGTCATAGTAAAACTCGGGCTCTTCGATGTAGGTCCACTTTCCACAAGAACCTTATTTACAACTTTGTTCATTACTTTCCTGGATTGCTGATTGTCTCTGCAGTTCTGCTTCTGGTGATTCTGCTTTAGCACATTCTTCCCTGTGTTCAAGGAAGATCCTTTGAGACTGTTCTGGCTCTTAACTGCACGGTTCTTAGCTTCCACTTTCTCCTTCTGGCCCGAACATGTCCTTTTGTTTCCACTTGAGGATGTTGCTAAGCTTTCTTGCTTCTGATTACTGCTGGCTTTTGCTTGCGCAGAGAAAGAAGGCGGTTTCACTTCACCCTTCAACCCATCAAGACTGCTTTTCCCCAAAGCTGTAGTTTTCCTCTCGTTGTGATCTCCTCTTAGGTATTTACTATTGCGAGTATTATCATTAGACAATTGAGGGCATGATGTTGATGCTTTCTGTGCAGCTTCTAGTTTCTCCTTCAAATCTCGAATTCTCAATGGAACTGGCGAAGGAGAATCAGATGATGAAACCACCCGTGTTCTTGCCATCATCCGTGGACTTGGCTCGATCATTCTTGAAGCAGCTTCCATTACATAAGCAGCGTTCCTAGATGGAACAAATCCAGGATTCCTTATAGGAGACAAGAGCTTATTGTGAGTAACAGAGATCGGTTTAGCAGATCTTGGAGGTAAAGTTTCGGTCTGAAACCGCTCAATCATCCGCTTTCGCGGTCCTTTACTAGTTCTCGAATCCAAATGATCCCAAGAAACGCCATCAATGTCACTCTGATTATCGACATTAGCATCCCAAGTGTTCGCCTGGCGCGAGGATCTGAGAAAGTATGGATCAAGATCAGTATTAACCCGTGGTTCCACAACGTTTGGTAGCGGTAAACCCTCTAAACCCATGAGCCTCGCTACCACACTCGGTGCTCTAACCACATTTCCATCATCACTAGTTACAGAGGAAGCACAACAGCTCGAGTCACTCCTCGGATTGTAAGTTGTGTTCTTTACTGTCTGCTCAACCTCAAACTGTCAAAACAGATCACACCACAGAACAAAATCACTTCATATCATTCACTAAACTAACACAAAACAAATATTGCATAAAACAAGGAAAATGGTACAGAGCAAAAAGCCTTACAACAGAATGCCGAGTAATCGAGAGGTTTTGAACATTCTCTTTTGCTTGCTTTGATTCTTCTGTTTAAAAGAAGAAACTTTATTAAACTGCATTACCTTCAATTTATACACACAAAAAGAACCATTTGTATAGATAGAACATACCAGAGTTCTGGGAGATACTGGATGAAAAAAGCTTCTTCCTTGATTTTCCATGCCAATCAAACAGATTTAGAAAGGCTCCTCTTGGTCTTTTCCTCTCAACAACGTCCATTTTATTTCAAGTCTATCGACCACAACAATTAAAATTGAAATCAGTTTTAAATGTAATGTACTTCCAAGACTACTGGATCCCATAAAAACAAAGCAGAAAAAAGACCAAAATTTTGCAAAGTAGTTATTATAAATCATCCAAAATTTTAGCTAAAGGATATAGAGAATCTGATAGCTATAACAGAAGATCAATGGAAATTAGAACAGGAATGAAATTTTTTACCTCGCAATTTCTCAGGATGCCAAAGTCCCCAACTTTAACTTATGGATCCATTCATTAATTGTAATCTTCAGAAACCCTAGTGGAAGATTATCAAATTCAGCGAATGAGAGACATTTTTCACCTGAGATTGAGCCAAATCCAAACCCTAAATTCGACCACTTTATCTCTCTCTCTCTCTCGGTCACAATCGCACTGTGAACACTTTGCGTTTCTCAAATCAACAATGACGGAAGAAGATAAAAACCCAAAAGAGAGATGAATCAAATCAGACAAACAAATAAAGAGACAAGATTTGGGGATTTTTGCGAAATGGGTCAGATCAGGAAAGATCATACAGATTTGAGATGGGGGTTATTTGGGCATTTGAGATTAGGTAGAGAGAGCTAAAAGAAGTAGTGAAGAAGCAGCAAGAGACGTTAAAAAAACAAGAGAGATAATCTGAATTTGAATTGAAATGAC